CTTAAGAACCCGGCACTGATGAGGTACTGTGATTACCCATTTAGAGGGGGGCAGGTGGCATAGACAGCTGCCTTACACTTATATAGTGCTTTTCTAGACACTCAAACCGCTTTACAGGTAATGGGGACTCCCCTCCACCACCATTGTGCAGCCCCCACATAAGATAAGATAAGATAAGATGGCAGCCATAGTGCGCCAGAATGCTAACCACACATCAGGTAGCAGTGGGAAGGAGAACAGAGTGATGAATCCAATTTAGAAATGGGGATTATTAGGAGGCCATGATTGGTAAGGACCAATGGGAAATTTGCTCAGGACACCGGGGTAACACCCCTACTCTTTTCGAGAAACACCTTGGGATTTTTAATGACCACAGAGAGTCAGGACCTCGGTTTTACATCTCATCTGAAAGATGGCACCTTTTTACAGTATAGCGTCCCCGTCAATATACTGGGGCATTAGGATTAGGACCCACATGGACCGCAGGATGAGTGCCTCCTACTGGCCCCACTAACAATTCTTCCAGCAGCAACCTAAGGAGGTCTCCTGTATCGAGGTACTGGCCAGGCTCACACCTACTGAGCTTCAGTGGATTGCCAGTTGTGAGTTGCAGGGTGATATGGCTGTTGGCTGCTTGATCATGTTCTCAAGGCACTGTTTGTTGTTTGGCTCTGAGTGCTAACTCAGCCAGTTGCTGTGGAGATCAGGGGGCGTGAACTCAGGCTCATCCAGGTGTAACATAACTATTCTAAAAGTTTGTGTCTGTGTGTGTCCTGCGATTGACTGATATCTTGCTCGGGGTGTATCCTGCCTTTTTTGCCCATTTTGTGCCAGGATAGGCTCCAGCACCCCTGCAATGGGATAAAGCATTAGAAAATGGATGGAAAAGCCACATGTAAACAATGGTAAAAGGCCACAGCAAACAGTCAATCAAGGTAATTTCAATGCAACTAGTAGACTTGGATCTATCAGATGTTAATTTTCTCTTAACTAACTGTCAGATTATAGTATTCATGTTAATTAATTCAAAAGAAAAGAGTCTCGTATGATGGCAGATAAAAACAACTAAGACAGATATGTGACATTAATTACATTTTATTCACAGTGCCAAGATCAAAAGAACCAAAAAATGATGCCAAGCAGGAAGAACGTGACTGAAGCCAAGTTTGTGTTAACACCCTTGAGAAATCCTTTATGAGAAGAGTCTTCATTGCAGCTCCAATAAGCACTGCTGTTTGATGCATGAACTTGTGCCACACAAAATTTCCAGCTTTCACTGTACACAATAACAATGATTTAACAATAATGTGGAAGAAATGTTGTGTTTTACAATTAAAATGTATTATTTCACCATAATATAATATTGTGTTGCTAGACAAATGCATGTAAATTGTATATCCTATTTACAGTATATAAGAAGTGATGATATTGTATATTAGTTGTATCTTGAATGAGCATTTAAACGTCATACTGCATACAGTACATAAGCTGCCTAAATTATGTAATTACAATCTTTTTAGTTATGATTTAATGATCCTTTCAAGATGGTGCCATTCCATGGCATTGTCTCACATGTGCTGTACTGTACCTCTACAATACATCAGTGAAATGTAGAAGTAGAAGAAAGACTTAATGACTGACTAAATCCTTAGGCGCAATTATTTTAAGAAAAGATTGACAGCCTGCAATCATAATTACAGGAAATTATTATTGTAAAGAACTTTAGTTACTCTTGCATTTATTAAAACCACGAATGCATGTGGATAAACTGCTTTAACTTCTATTGTTCCAATAATTAATTGAGATTTCAGCAATGAGGAAGTCAAGGACTATACATTTTCCTGTAAATCCACACCCCTTATTGATTGCAGTTTTAAATCCCAGGTGAATACAGGCATCACCTTCAGAAGACAAAGTGCCTTGGCAGGTAAGGTGTTTAACTCTGTTCGTTAAATGATCAGAATAAAAAAAACAACTTTATATGATTTTCCATGAGGATCTTAATGTTTTTGCAGTTCAGTGATTCAGGACGATCAGCATCATCGCCCAAAATACTAAATGGGTTTGTTCACTAGAATAACTGTAGATGCAACTGAAATTCTAAACATTTTTTGACTAAGAGCAAGCTTGTATGTACAAAAAACTGTATGTTAATGAATAGTTTTAAGATAAATGCTGCCAAACATTTCTCCAGATATCTTTATATGCATAGAAATTGATTGGAATATCTAGAAATAGTACATAACGTACCGTTTTTGGTGGAATCCCAGCTTCAGAATCATCACACTCTGTTATTAATCAATATGTCAATGGATTAGCTTTTGTTCAAACAAAATGCACGAAGACACACATTCACTAGATTTCCTAATTCCTATAAATTTGTAGGAATAAAGAACGTGTTGTTTTCTTCGTCATGATTATACTGTATAGCTAAAAACATAAAGACATGTTGCGTCTTCAGTTCTCTCCTACATGTCTTTGCAGGTGTCATTCTGAAGAGCCGATTGAAGATGGGTAGAGTTCTGCTTGTCCTCGCAGCACTGCAGCTGCTGTGTTTCGGTAAGTTCCATTTTTAAAGGTTCAAATCCATTCTTGTAAAAAAATCCATAAGAACAGTATTCTTTTTAGAAGTCCCTAAAATAATTATTTTTAGAGTCTGCAAAATACACAATTCTCTGACTGCATTCTTTGCAATAAATTGTTAACAGTTAACAATAAAATCTGTACTAGTGTTTTTAACTTGGAATTTCTCAATGTATTATAGAAATGCACAAGAGTATTGACATCCATTTGCTGTACAGACAGCTAGTAGCAGCTGACTATACAACTTAACTCATAATGATAAAAAAGATTTATCGTTCCAGGATTTTATGTAGTCCAACAATTACAGCATCCACCAAAGAGTATATCCAATTTTTTGATTTGCCAGCTCTCCACAGAATTAACCTTGGCATGACACTTGATATTTAAATGACAATTATATTTAAAAAACATTAGCCTGAAATAGTTGAACTAATTGGTTAGGAAAAATTTAAGGAGAAAGAAAGTGCTTTACAAAGTGATTAAAATCAAACAAGAGGATTCATTTAAAGAAAAAAGGAGCACAATGAATTACAAGCACAATTAATAAGGCCAAGGGATAGTTTGGAAAGGAAAGTTATAAATTTTAAAAAGTTCTGCCAGTATTCAGGAATAAAATAAATATTAAGAATGATGTAAAGGTTAGCCAGGGCAACAAGTGAAAACAATTCAATTCAAAACAGACAATGAAAAGGAAAAGGCTGAAGTAATAAATGATAATTAAATCAGGTATTCACTAAATCAAAAACTTGATTCAGGTGGCAGGTGTTTATTAAAAGTATTAACTTAGAAGAGTTAAGTGTTGCTCATAATAATTCAAAAGGGCCTGAGGGTATCTTGTCAACTGTACAGTAAATAATCTCAGAAATCAGAGACAGCATTCAGAAGCCAATGTTCCAACACCTTCCAATTGTCAATATTGTGCCCATTCACACAAAGGGTAAGCAAACTTATCTACTGATCTAAGAAAAGTACTGAAAGTAATTATGGAACAAAACGTCTGACTTGTATTACTGTAAATATCAGATTATAGAACCAATTTTCTTATAGAACTAGAAGATTCTAGGCAAAAGTCATGATAGATTGAAAAAAGGTTAGTCTTCCTTGGGAACTTGTTCTTTAATCAAGCAAGAACCATAACACATGACATATGATAGAGTGTGTTTAGATTTAAGAAGTTTTTTAATCAGATGTCCTTGCAGTTGAGCACAGATTTCAGAGCACCATTTTCAGGTTTTCTTATCACATGCGGGTATTGCCCCTGGCAACATCATGACACAAATCCATCCTAGCATAGGCATAATCTTATCATTCATGGTTTATCATTTCATTGTGTCTTATCATTTTTGTTTTTCACAGATGAGTTGGTCAAGGCTCAAACAGGTAACTATGAAATATGTTCAGTCTGAATTACCCTGACTCAGACGATAGAGAACAGTCTGTGTTTCTCATAAGGAATTGACTGTCTTTCTTTTCTTAAAGTGAGAACCCCCCACATACACACACCACAAATTAAGCAAACTATCCAATTTTTATAATTATATTTTTATTGAAAAGCTTTAATGGAAAAAATAAATCCATCCATTAAAAAAACACTTCAAAATGATACAAGTTCACAAAGGCTTATTTAATTTTTCCTTCCATAACAAGGCCAAAAACATATTGCCATCCACTGTAAGTGTATGACCCAGTTTATTGGTGGAGCTCCTTTTGATACTCCTACTGTATGTAAAACCCTGGCCAGAGCAGCTCACTAGCAGATCAAGTCTCTGGGTTAAGAGAGCAAACTAATGCCCACATCACCAAAGAGAAGACTGATTTGCTTATATTTTCAGATGTTCCAAATCCAAATTTCTTTTAATATAAAGATGGAAAAGAATTTTCTTTGTTGACAAAATGTAATTTGAATTAACAAATAACGAAGTTTAATGGTAAGGTCTGAAAATATTTTAATATACAGTATATATATTGTTGCATGTAATATAGTAATACAATTTATTCTCTGGGGCAATAGAGATTATTATGATTATTATTAGTGTGTGACTTGAGTCTGTTGCTTGCCAAGGCTCTAGTGCCCCTGTAACCCCCAATTAATTGGATGAAGCCGTTAGAAAATGTATATCAGTGCAGTATGAAAATGTTTAAGTAGACATATAGATACTTATAAAATTAGGGACATATGTTAGAAATAATGCATCATAGTGATGCAAATGTTTATCTATTGGCCAATGCAACAAATATTACCTCAGCCAATTGTTTCCAAACTATTCAATTCTCAGGACAATTCTACTCATTTGGGATCAACAGTGGAGACGCGGTCAGCCCCCAGATTGATGATGGAAGCTCTCCTGTAGTCTCCCTTGCTGTCAGCTTTCCCTTTTTTGGACAAATATACCGCCAGTTATACGTAAGTAGATCAGTGATTTATCTCAATAATGAATAAACAACAAAGTGACTACTATTCACCAATTAACATTCTGAAAAAGTTTAAAAAGAAACAAAAAAACCCAACAGTTTTGATAATCACCTGAGAGGAATAAAATAGACATTTCTGAGTATTATTCTTAAATTAGGGATGAACAGTAGATTGTGTGTTTTGCTGATGAAAAATGTCTCATAATGTAAAAAGCCTTATGCCGAAGTCCATTCTCAGGACTCCAAATAACATTCAAGCCTTCTGTGCTCTGAGGCCTATGTGTTGCCATAGCGCAATTTGTTTGTGGAGAAGCATGGAACCTGGACTCAATTCTTGGGGTGCTATTGGCTTGGAGTTTCTATGTTCTCCCCATGTTTGCATGGACTCCAGGTGCTCCAGTTTCCTGCCACAGTTTAAAGTCCTGGTACGAGTGTCCCCGTCACTATACTGGGGAATTAGGACCTACCTGAACCGCAGGGTGAGCGCCCCCTGCTGGCCTCACTAACACCTCTTCCAGCAGCAGCCTTAGTTTTTCCCAGGAGGTCTCCCATCCAGGTATTGACCAGGCTCACACCTGCTGAGCTTCAGTGGGTTGCCAGTTGTGAGTTGCAGGGTGATATGGCTGCTGGCTATTTACGTATTACGCTAAATAACAAAATATAATCAAAAGCTTTTTTTAAAGGAATTCCTGTTTCTGTAATCTCGTCTAAAGTATTTGTAATATACAATTTATACAGCAAATTCACATGGAAATCCTTAAGTGTCTGACTTATAATTTGGAGTACGCTTAGGAAGTATCTAGGATGTTAAATCTGTGTTTATGATAGCATTTTCTCTTATTCTTTTTTAGGTGAACAACAATGGCTTCATAACATTTGACAGTCCCTCAAGTACCTATGTCCCCTTTCGATTTCCAGCCCGCTCAGGCATTGATATCATTGCACCATTCTGGACAGATCTTGACAACAGAAACAATGGGATCATCTCATACCGACAGATCACCTTTGGAAGTGTCCTTCAACAGGCTACACGTGACATCAACCAATACTTCCCTCAGATTCAATTTACAGCCAGATGGGTTTTTATAGCAACTTGGGATAGAGTGGCCTACTACCCAACCAGTGGAACGGTGATTCTTTTTACATTAACAAATACATATCATTACAAAGAGAAAGAGACTATCGACACATAGGTGCAGACATATGTACAGTATTTTGTAAATGTATTCACCCCCTTCCAGTGATTTTCCATTTTGTCTCAGTTACCAATGATGAGTACACGTTCTTCAAAATGAATAATTTTAATGAGAATTTAAATGTTTAGACTGAACAGTTGTAAGGAATCGTGAAAGAAAAGGTAACATTAAATGTTCTGAACTCTCTTAGCGTTTTAGTGACAGGCAGCAGAAATAAAATTATTATTGGTCAGAGTGCAGTGTGGTGCATCCTTGAAGAGCAGGGATGAACAATCCTATTTATTTTTCATAAATTCTATTTACTAATTTAATTTAATTGAATTAATTAGAATCAGAATGCTAGATAGCAACCTCAATTATCATTTGCTTGCTGGTTTACTCACTATCGCACTATCAGCTTCATTATTTGCAACATCTAGTGTATTATCTCAATTCCTTGGAATGCACCCTGTCTGAAATCTCTGCTTCTTTTCCAACGTTGTTTTCATGTTTACTGTCCACCACTCCTTTTCCCTCATCCGCTTTTACCCGAGGACACTCCATCATCTTTTAGAACTGGTTGGCATGGTGGTGCAATGATTAGCGTTGTTGCCTCGTAGTGCTGGGGCTCAATTCTGAATTCGGGGTACTGTGTGTTCGCCCTGTGTACTCATGGGGTTTCTGAAATGACTGAAATTTCAAATACACGTGGAGTTACTTCATATGTTAAAAGTCATGATCCTCTTTCTTTTAGGAAACTACATTCCAGGTCGTTCTCATCTCAGGTGGAACATATTCATTCGTTCTCATGAATTATGGAATTATAGCAGCAACTGGCAGAGGTGTGGAGGTGAGTACATCTTTTGGAGGTGTTTTGTTTATATAAAGGTTGTAATCACAACCTTTTGTGGGTGCTCCTGAATCTGTGTAAGGATTTGAAGATTGTGGATTTGAGACCTAAACATATTCTGATGGTCTTGCTGATATGATTACATTGAGGTTGTAATAAAATTTCAAACTTTGCTTTGGTCTATTTCATTCTCTTTCAGATTATATACCACACTGAATTGGTTGAGCTTAGAGCAAGAAATAACTGATTAAAAAAAATCAGCATGTCATTTAGCTATTTGTGTGTGTGTAGTATGTCTCTGTTCTTATTGCATCTCACAGTGGAATCTCCATTGTAAGAGGTTTGTGTATTTCCCTCCCTTCCTTGTGAGTAAGGGACTTGCTGTCAGAGATATTATATCTGCAAGAGCCATCATGTGGCTTTTCAGTGTTGTCTAAAGTGGGAGATCGTGGCCTACATATCACCAGGACCTATATGACATTTGTCCCTGGTGCTTTAATTGAGCTCACGTGAAAAACAACATCTCAGACATCGAAGACAACATCCTGTAGGTCACCTGCAGCTTAGTTGACTAGGGTAGGGCTTTAATTGTATTGCTTCTTTCTAGAAGAGCCACAATGGAGAACCTTTTTGTAGTAGTGATGTGGACTGTTTGTAATATTTTAATCTGCTGGTTCTTATACAGGATAACTCTTTTCCGGGACCCATGGTCTAAATAATTCACGTTGTGAAGTTTCTGGCCATTAGCTCTGAGAGGCCACTCTTCTGTTCATTATGGCTTAATAATACATAATCTTCTTGAAATGCTTGATCAATTTATAGGCAATTATATTATTCCTGCGTTTCCCTCTCCTTCAGGCTGGATACGACACAAGAACCTCAGACCACCATTTTCTCATCCCTGGATCTTTTGAAAGCAACATTACCAATCTGATGCACACCAGCAACGTCAATGTTTTGGGACGCTGGGCATTTCATACCGATTCTGGAAACACCGGCTGCATGTTTAATGGTAGTGTATCTTAGCACTATATTTATAATAATGATGATAATCATAGTGCTGACAGTGGTGGAACTTTATGTAGAAATGAACAAGTAACAGGTTGATTCCATGCTGAAAAGAGAAGAAAGAAAACACAACATTTCGGCCATGGTGCCTTCTTCAGGTGTGAGAAAGACAAGGCAGTTAGCAAAGGTAATGTAGTGGGAGAACAAAAGCTGGGAGAGAGGAGGAGTAGGGGATCAACCGAGTGGCGAATCAGACAGAATGGCCAATCAGGTACTGTGAGGTCAGGATAGATGTGAAATGAAACCAACAATGAATAGAGAGAATTTAGAAGAAAATGAGTCTGTCATTGAGAGAAGGGGAAAGGTCTGATCCTAGCTGCAGGATAATTGTAGTTTCTGTGGTCTTTCTGATGTGGGAGTTAGGAAAACCATCTTTGAGAGCACAGACAGAGAGATTAGTGTGACCATCAGAAGTGAAATGAGAAACAATAAGCTTGGAGAAATCTTTCATATTCACAGCCCTAACATTCTCTGAAGCTGTCTCCGAGTTTCTTTCCTGTTTCCCCAATGTAGATGGCTGGGTATTTACTACAAGAGATACAGTAAATGAGGTTTCTGGAGGTACAGAATGTCATCTGAGTGATCCGGAATTGTCCTGAGGGGCCTTGAATGAGTGTGGTGTTAGATGTGTACTTGCAGGCGATACAGCGAACTCGGTTGCAAGGGAAAGTGCCTGGATGATTGCTGAGAGCGGTCAAGGGAGCTGTGAACAAGAAGGTTACGCAGATTACATGGTCGGGGATCTGAGATGATGGGGTGGTCAGAAGAGAGAGCCCCATTGGAGGGATCATCCTGTAGGATGGAAAAGTTGTCTTTAATAGTCCTGGGGATGTGAAGTGTGTTAGGGTGGTAGGGAAGCACCAAAGGAATGCGGTTGTTACTGTGGGAGTTCCTGATTGAGTTGATGGTCCGAGGGGTGTTTTTGGCTTAGGCAAGGGCCCTGTCAATAACACCGTTAGGGTATCCTCTGCTGATGAAAAAAGAGTACATTTTAAGGGGTTGTTTCTGAAAATTGATGTCGTTGCTGCAGAGTCGTCATTGCCTGAAGGAACTGTAAAAAAGGCAGAGAGTTTTAAGTGTGTTTGGGGTGAAATGGGCTATACAGGAGATACGTGTGTGATACGCTGTGTGAATCAGTGGGTTTGTAATGGACCGCAGTAGAGAGTCGGGGGTAGTTAATGGAGAAGTTGATGTCTAGAAACGGAAGAGTAGTGGAAGATATGTTAACTGTATATTTGAGGGACGGGTGGAAGTTGGTGAAGTGATGCCGAAAGTGCTCAGGCATGTGGTGGCATACATCGATGTATCGCTTGTAGAGGTCAGGGACAAAGCCAGCGTAGGAAGCGAAGAAGCTTTCTTCTATCCAGCCGACAAAAATATTGGCATACAGTAACTTGGTCCCATTCTGGTGCCAATTTCTGTGGAAATGATCGTGCTTACAATACATTGTAAAAGGAATATATAAATGACATGTTGAGGTAAAAACAAGCTTTATTTCTTTTAAGGCAATCCAGTGCAAGTGGGAGACAGCTTTTGGAGTGACAGTACATGCCAGAGTAAGTGCACCTGTGTGAGCAGTGGCAATCTGAGATGCCAAAGTCAGCCGTGTGGCTTCGACCAGGTGTGCCAGGTCTCCACTTTCCAGTACTCCTGCCAGACTGTGCAGAGAAGGACCTGCACCATTGCAGGGGACCCCCACTACTACACCTTCGACGGCAGACTCTTTCACTTCCAGGGCACCTGCACATACGTTCTCTCCCAGACCTGTGGCAGCAGAGCCCAGGGGTTAGTGCCTTACC